TCGTTAACGAGGCGGCAGGGACGACAACTAGCCAGGACAACCCGTGCAAGGCCTACTCTACCTACCCTGTTGAGGTGAGTGACCTGTTTCCCCGGCCCATGAGTAGTCTATGCTCTCGCCCGCCCCGTCATGAATTGCCAGATGTGTTCTGCCCCATTGAACTCACCCGACTTGTGGTTTAGATTACCTATCCACTCTCACGAACATCTCTCCTCCATTCCCCACCACATCCCCATTTCCAGTGCGTGCTCTGGAAGTGGGATGTCCCGGGGACCGCGTGGGGCAATCCCTACCTCGTGGTGATGCCTGACATCATGCACCAGGCGGACCTAGGCATCATGAGCCACATTGTGGCTGTCGTGCGCAAGATGAAGAAGCGGCGTGTGAAGCAGATGGACAGGTCAGTGTTTTGGGGATTGGATTCGTTGCTCCTGGTCACAATTACTCAAACCATAAGTTCTGTCCTATTACTGACCTGTTTCTGCCCTTTTGGCGCCGCTGAACTGATGTGTATGGGCAGGCGCCTGTCTCTCATTCGCGACCGCACGCGCCTGAATCACATGCGCCTGCCGGAGAGCGCCTACTTCGAGACCGGCGCATGTGTGGCGGCCTATGAGCACAGGGCCGTCATGCAGGTATGAACCCTCCATTCCCTGTTGCTTGTCCTGGCCTAAACCCTCAAGCAGTCTGCTCATGCTGCCATTGTCCGTCATGCTCCACTCCTCACACCATCTGTGCTCACCCTCCCCTTTGCTGCTATCCACGTTCTTTGCAGGTCATGGTGTTTGTTTTTGCAGGTCTGCTTCGCCAGCCCCAGATGGATGCCGTTCGTGCCTATCTTGGCTGGTACATCCTGTGTTCCCAGCCACAGGGGCACACTGAGCGGTCCCTCCGGGAGCTGAAGAAGATGACCTCTCGGTAATAATATCACGCATGTAAATCCCTGTGCGTGGGATGTATGCTTGGCTACTGTAAATGTGCTCTTGTAGTAGGCAATCTTGTGAGGATGTTGCTGCTAAACTTTGATGAAAAGGATCAGAAATAGGAAAAGCATATGAATAAGTAGACTCTGTGAATGCATGTGTTGTCATCTCCCACTCCCATCAGGCTCGTTGAGCAGTTGCAGGCTGCGTTTCCAAAGCAGCCATCCTCTTGGTGCCTTGTGAAAACACATCTCATGTCGCACTACATCGACTCCATACGTCGGGCGGGTCATGTGACTGAATTCAGCACCAACATGTTCGAGCACTTGCACGGACCGTTGGTAAAGAGGATCTACCGTCGGTCCAACAAGCGCAATGTAGATGGGCAGATCATGAAGTTCCATGCTAGGCGCATTCCGGATGTGGTGCCGGTGGATGATCCTGCCGGTCGGGACACCGCCATGCGGCAGGTAAATCTGTTTAGTGCTTGAATTGCATGGATATGAATGCAGAATGTAATAATATCAATAGCATATGTTGGCAGGCGATTGAGACCGACACACGGACGCTCATCAAGGAGTCATACTCCCTCCCTGTGGAGTTGTCACAAGAATCCACCTCTACCAACTGGTTTGCAAGGAAGTGGGCCAAGCAACACCCTCGTGCCCAAGCTGCCCTCAAGGATGCGCTTATGCGTTATGCAGGATGCGTCACCAAGATTCGAGTAAGTAGTTGCAAGTTTATGCAATCAACCATCATTTTGGCTGGCCCGTATCATACATGACTAACATCAACTGTTATGCAGGCCCATGCATCGCTGGCAATCCCTGCAGCAGACGACGCCAGCTTCTCAAGAGTGTCTCACTTCGTTCGAGCGACCCCTGACTATTTTGAGGAGCCATGGTACTCGGATGTTGCAGTGGAGGGTGTAAGGTATGGTCGGAGAGAGGAGTGGTATGCAAGGTTGCTTCTGTTGTTCCATACCAAAATACGTGGAGAGAGGGAGGAGCTGGCTTACGTTAGATATTGGAATGCAAGCGGAGAGGATACAGCAACAGGATGCCTTCGCCTCAAGTGGACAACAGGAATGTACGCGTACTCCGTGATTCCCATTGAAGCGTTGCTCCGCCACGTCCATGTGGTGAAGGCATTCCATCTAGACAGTACCTATCTCCTTAATAAGTATCAAATGTGATGCATTTATCTTGTAATAAAATGGCCAGCATATTTTCATGCAGTCACATTTCAGGGAAGTCAAAGCTTACAAAACCAGTTACAAATTCAGAACAAAATTGGCAAGCTTAAAAAAACCGGCAATGTACCGGAGTCGCGGATTCGATTTCGACTTCGACAAACAAACGCGGTCCGAATTCATTCCGTGATTGGTCGCGATCTGGCTTCGGAACTTCGCCAACCAAAACACCTGAACTGTACCCCCCTTCGAACCCCCTTCAAAAATCAAGGTTTTTTGTGATGACACAAGCGAAGCAAAACACTACGGTATCGAAGCACCAGCGAGTCAACCCTTGGAGGTTGAAGTAACTGTCGGAGGTTACGCGAAATTCAAAGGTCAGCGACCTTTGACCTGACAAGTACAGCGCGACAGCAAGGACACACAACCGACTCGCTACAGAGCAGTTGCCCGAGTCGTCACTGTATCGAACCGCAACAGCAACAGTAAAGTAGTTGCAACCGTATCTCTTCGTATTCCTTGTACTCTTACATAATCTTGTATCTCTTTGCTTTAATCAACTTACTTTGCCCTCACATACTAGCGCAAGGTGGTTCACAACACTTTAATTAACGCTTCCGCTACTACACCAACTCTACCCAGAGTTCACCCCTGCAAAGATCCTAAGGGCTTTTCAGCCCAACAGTTTGTGTCTGGCACTGGTAATGTTGCACCACAAATGACATACCAGTAGCTACCTTGTTGCGACACCAATATATTATTTTCCTAGACCATATTTAAACAACAATCAAGGTAACAGGGTCACTGCTCTCCTTAAACAATTCGACAGTTGGTCCGTGAGGGATGTGTCTGGTTATGCACTGTCGGTGCTCATACTTGTGAGTAAACGTACGGTATTGGACAGCTCAACATTCCTTTGGTAGTAATGCTTTATATGTTCTTTCAACACTGTATTGCAGCCTTGCAAATAAATGTGTCATTTTGTGCCCCCCGTGCGCCATACCACTTACCTCAGTTCATTGCCACGAACGTTGTTCTCTCCGACTTGCGACCCAATCGCCACCACTCACAACTAACTCCCGAGCGTGCGTTCTTATCGCAGGTGTTCCATAACAGCTTCGTATCAGACTGTCATATCGGTGTACGAATTGCGCCAATGGTGCGTCCCCGTTTCTCCGAAGTGGCGATTTTACTCTTGACGTGACGCCTGCGCCAAGCTTCGTGCGACACGCGTGGAAGACTATGAAAATTAGCCACATAAAGTCTGTGCGGGCAGAATAGATATCTTTCATGAGCCCTAATACACTAGCGCACGTTTAAGCACTAGCAACATTTTGTATCGCTCCCTGCCGCTAATGGACGGATAAACGCCCGCTCCCACTGAATCATGCCCCATTGGAGCCGCAATTTTTTTTTTTATGCACGTTAACCACCATGTGATTGGTTGTTGAGGGAAACGAGGGACCTGGATGTCGCAAGGTGGAACAGAGCAGGAAACACTCAAACCCTTGTCACCTCCGTGCTCCTCTTGCGTGCCTGCTTGTGGGACGGTCCTCTGCTCCAGGCCCCTGTCTGATCCTTGTCCCTTCTATGCTCAACAATTTTTTAGTGCGCGAAGCGTAGCTGCCAGGTTGCAACGTCATAACTAACCCACACCTCAGACTACTGCGTGAATGGAAACCTAGACATTGCAATGGATAGTCAGACGATTAAGGGGCCCGATGGGGCGATCGTTTTGGCAGACTCGTCGAAATTGCCGGAGGAAAAAATATATATGGAGTTAGTTACAGCAAATAAAACGGCCGAGATCGTTAACGAGTACCGCAAGTACAATGCGTCGTCGGCGCGTGATGACGTTGAGTCAGGACGGGACTCTTCATCTGGTGACGAATCGAATAGCGACGGCGATGTTGGGCCATAGGCTAACAAGGGCGTGTCCTCCCCTCCAAAACGAAGGGAGAGGCGCGTGAGGCGCTTAGATGACATCGGTCCCAAAGCCAGCCAGAAAGGTACGTGTCTTTGGTACTAGCTGCTGAAAGGTAGACTTGCATGATTAATTACCTCCGACCGATCCAGTAAGTTCGGTTTGCCGTCATGTTTGACTTGTTCTCGTTACTGTAGCTCCGATTGTGCTCCCCCGTAAAATTGTCAGAGGACAAGCGTGACAACCGAAGGGGGCGTAAGCGCCGTCAACAAAAGAGAGGCACTACTTCACATGCTGCGTCTGAAAGCGACGAGGAGGTCTGTCAGAATCCCAACCACTAGACCATTGGGATAAAAGGGCTTGTTTCAGTAGCGGGTGAGTGTGCCCATAACCCCCCAGGCAAACGCGCCTGTAACCCTCTCCAGGATCAATCGGGCATCCACAGTGCAGATCTACTGACACCCCCCCACACTGGGAGGCCTAGGACTAAGCACAGCGGCAACGGCCTACATGTGCATACACCAGGAATCGAACCCGAGATCGCTCTGATACCATGTCAGAATCCCAACCACTAGACCATTGGGATAAAAGGGCTTGTTTCAGTAGCGGGTGAGTGCGCCCATAACCCCCCAGGCGAACGTGCCTGTAACCCTCTCCAGGATCAATCGGGCATCCACAGTGCAGATCTACTGACAAGGTCGAGGACGGCGGACCTGTCAAAGAAGGTGCGTATTTGTGTAATATCACCGGTTTATAAGTAGCACGTTACTCCCTGCATCGACTGATCATACTGATGCCACTTCGTGCAAATAAGGTTAGCACGCACTGCACTGCTAATGTTCTTGTGATGTCCGCCCTCGCAGCTCCGTCAGCAGGCAGGCGCGCAGGACAACGCGGTAGATGTTATGACCGTAGTGGGAAGGCTGCGGAGTATCCTGGCAGTCCATCTGGCCGCCTAGGAATGTCTCCGCGTGGCGACGGGCAAGAACATGGTGAGCTTGAAGGGCGTGGTGGTGGAAAGCGCAACAATGCGAAGGCGGCGGCGGCGGCCAAGGGCAATCCCTCGGGGAGGCTCTTGGAGGACGTGGCTGGTGGCGACGAGCAAGAACATGGCGAGCTTGAAGGGCGTAGTGGTGGAAAGCGAAACAACGTGAAGGCAGCGGCGGCGGCAAAGGGCAGTCCCTCGGGGAGGCTCTCGCAGGAGGTGGCTGGTGGCGACGAGCAGGAACATGGCGAGCTTGAAGGGCGTGGTGGTGGAAAGCGCAACAACGAGAAGGCGGCGGCGGCGGCCAAGGGCAGTCCCTCGGGGAGGCTCTCGCTGGATGTGGCTGGTGGCGACGAGCAGGCGCTGCCCAGGCCCGTTATAGAAGGTTGGCGGTTCCTGGCTACATCTGTCGTTGATTTTGAGGTTGCATAGCCTTCGCTGCCACCCTCCTTGTATATGGTTACCTGTTGCACCAACAACTATGTCGTGAGTGACGTGACACCGACATTGTCTCTCTCATATCCCTCTCGCTGCAGGGCTAGCAGAGCAGCGAGGTGGTGGCGGTATCGATTAGGATGAGGACAAGCCTGTAGCAGTGACTGCTGGGAAAGAACATGGACGTGAAGATGTGATTCTGTACAAACGACGCAATGCTGTGGACTCGGCTGATCGCGACCGTAATGCGAGACAAGCTCGACAAGGGACAAAACAGTATGTTTCGAGCTCGTCGGGTTCGGAGGAGGGATCCAGCGATAGTGAGTCAGGCAGCTCATCCGAGAGTGAGGAAGTATACGAGGACGAGGAGGAGGAGGAAGAGGAAGAGGAGGATGAGGAGTTGGAGCCGGAGAGCGAGGATGAGGAGGCTTGGCCTTTGAAGAGGAGGGGTGTGCGGAAGACTAAGAAGGGCAATGGAAAGCGAAAATCGGAGACAGGACGGGTGAAGAGCTGTAAGCAGAGTGTGCGTCGTGCCAAACCACATGGCAAGCGCCAGAGACCTCGATTCGAAGCTAAAATTGTGGGTGTGTGTAGCAAGGCGAAGCGGGAGTTGGATTTTTACGAGTCCATGGGGCTACGATGTCCATCAAGCCCTCATTATCGGAAAGCCACTGACCCGTATGCTGCGTTACGCGAGCAGATGGATTCGTCTGGGAAGGGAGATCCGGTCGCTTGGGGGTCAGCGCGGTTTGGTAGGGAAGCGACGGACCCACGTGCAAAGCTTTCGGGGGGTCACGCGGTTCAGGTGAAAATCGAGGGAGCAACAAAGCGGCACGAACCCTCGGCCGCCGCAGCAGCCAATGACGGTGTGGGAGGAGGTGTGTGGGCAAATTCCTTGGGTGAATGTGGCGGCAGTGTGGAAGGCTCCATGTGGGATGTACGGGATAGCAGGGGAGAAGGAGGAGTCTTGAAAATGGATCCGGCGACTAAGGAGGGGAGGGGCGAGAGCATGGGCACACCTGGCGCATCCAGTCGGCCCAATGTGGCTGGCGGCAAGACGGTGGAGCAGCTCATGCGGGAGCTTGCCCAACGGGATCGCAAAATTGCGGCACTCAAGGCAAGGCCAGGAGCCAAAGGACCTGTCAAACCCTGCACCCCTCCGTCAAGGCCTCCTCCTATTGCGTCTCTGTCGAGCGGCCCATCTGCAGTGGGCCTCGATCCAGGCGTGGCGCCAGAAAGCCCATCGACGGTAGACGTACCGGTGCGTCGAACGCGTGGGATGCCCAAGCCCAAGCTGCTGAAGGTGGGTATGTTTAAGTGTTAAGCAATGTGTGGCATGCGGCTCAGTGATAGCTGCAGCTCTCTCTCTCAACACCTCGTTTCCCCCACCTCTTTATGCTGGTCAGAGTGTTTGTACCATTATGCGCAGTGATAGCGGCCTGGCTGCGGTGTGATAGGCACTCCCAGTACGCCCCGCTTCAGGGACGCTGGCGCTGGGCGTACGATACTCTCACACTCTGCCCCACCTCTGCGAGCTCACCATAACTGTTCTATTTCCTCCCCCCCCCCCCCCCCCCCCCCTCTCTCCCGTCACTCCACCTCCTCTTCCAGAGCCCGTGTTCATGGCGCTGCTTGTCTGGTATGGGTGGCATGCGGCGCAGAGATAGCAGCAGCCCTCTCTGTCATCCCCACGCGCCCAATCCCTTCTTTCCGCTTGCTCCCCCCCCCCCCCCCCCCCCCTCTCTATCCCACCCCTCCCCCTCCTCTTCCAGAGCCCCTCTAAACGGTGCTGCTGGTCTGGTGTGGGTGGCATGCGGCGCAGAGATAGCAGCAGCCCTCTCTGTCATCCCCACGTGCCCAATCCCTTCTTTCCGCTTGCTCCTCCCCCCCCCTCTCTATCCCACCCCTCTCCCTCCTCTTCCAGAGCCCCTCTAAACGGTGCTGCTGGTCTGGTGTGGGTGGCATGCGGCGCAGAGATAGCAGCAGCCCTCTTTGTCATCCCCACGCGCCCAATCCCTTCTTTCCGCTTGCTCCTCCCCCCCCCCTCTCTATCCCACCCCTCTCCCTCCTCTTCCAGAGCCCCTCTAAACGGTGCTGCTGGTCTGGTGTGGGTGGCATGCGGCACAGAGATTGCAGCAGCCCTCTCTGTCATCCCCACGCGCCCAATCCCTTCTTTCCGCTTTCTCCTCCCCCCCCTCTCTATCCCACCCCTCTCCCTCCTCTTCCAGAGCCCCTCTAAACATTGCTGCTGGTCTGGTGTGGGTGGCATGCGGCGCAGAGATAGCAGCAGCCCTCTCTGTCATCCCCACGTGCCCAATCCCTTCTTTCCGCTTGCTCCTCCCCCCCCCCTCTCTATCCCACCCCTCTCCCTCCTCTTCCAGAGCCCCTCTAAACGGTGCTGCTGGTCTGGTGTGGGTGGCATGCGGCACAGAGATTGCAGCAGCCCTCTCTGTCATCCCCACGCGCCCAATCCCTTCTTTCCGCTTTCTCCTCCCCCCCCTCTCTATCCCACCCCTCTCCCTCCTCTTCCAGAGCCCCTCTAAACATTGCTGCTGGTCTGGTGTGGGTGGCATGCGGCGCAGAGATAGCAGCAGCCCTCTCTGTCATCCCCACGTGCCCAATCCCTTCTTTCCGCTTGCTCCTCCCCCCCCTCTCTATCCCACTCCTCTCCCTCCTCTTCCAGAGCCCCTCTACACGGTGCTGCTGGTCTGGTGTGGGTGGCATGCGGCGCAGAGATAGCAGCAGCCCTCTCTGTCATCCCCACGTGCCCAATCCCTTCTTTCCGCTTGCTCCTCCCCCCCCCCTCTCTATCCCACCCCTCTCCCTCCTCATCCAGAGCCCCTCTAAATGGTGCTTCTGGTCGCGTGTGTGGCATGTGGCGCAGCGTGTAGCGGGCCGGGCTGCAGCGGGGGTTGTGACTCTTAGTACGAGGAGAACATGACCCCTTACGCAGGGCGTACGGTGCTCTCACACTCTGCTCCCTCTCCCATATGATTTCACTCAGACTAATTCATCCCCTCTCTCCCCCCTCTATCTCCCTGCTCTCCCCTACCTCAACCAGAGCCCCTATTCATGGTGCTGGTGGTGGTGTGGGTGGCCTGCGGCACGTGTTACCCAAATCCCACTCTCTTGACCTCTGGTTTCCGCCCTTCTTTGGGAGTCACCCACATATCCTTTTTTCCTATCCATCCGGCTGTCGTAGGTTCATTTTGCGGAGGGGCGGGACCGGATGTGCCTCGAGGCGCCAGACCATGCCATAGACTTCTACCCAATGCTCGAACAGCGCGTGCAGGTGTTGTATGAGGTTATCAGCGAGACGCACATCATCAACATGATGCAGCTGCGAGAGGCTATGGAAGACAAAAACATCATAGGCGCTTTTAAACGCGCCTAGACGTCATGGAAGAACGAACGTGGCTTCCACCTCAAGCGCAGAGTGCTCGTCACTTTCGGCAAGAAGGTAGAAGGCCTGCGTGCAGCCGAACTGTGGATGGGCACCAAGAAGAAGCGGAAGATGTGGAAAAAATACCAACCGAGTGAGTACTTGCGTGACTGTTTTCCATCCCCTATTGACATGTCTGCTCATGCACCCCTCGTGCATGCCCCACGTTGATGAAGCACATACCCCCAATGCATCCCCACTTTGGCACGCGACTACATACCTGCTCTCCTCGCCCAAGCTTGTAGCGCATGTGCAAACACATCCGCATGACAGCCATCCGTTGGTTCTTCTCCCACACTCCCCTTCTCCCGCCCCCCGTTTAACTCCCGCCCTCCTCTTCTCTCCTGCCACCCCCTTCTCTCCCGCCCTCCTTTCCTCTACCGCCCTCCCCTTCTCTCCCGCCCTCCCCTTCTCTCCCGCCCTCCCCCTATCTCCCGCCCTCCCTTACTCTCCCGCCCTCTCGCCATTCATTCCACCCCGCCCTCGATGTTCATCCATACCCTTTGGACAACCCTAAACCATGTCATGCATGATCACGGATGTCTCATGCTTCCCCGCATTGTCATACATGCGCGCAAGAGGGAAACAGCGGGTCAGCTCGTGGGGAAACAACAGAGACGGGCTCCCGTTTGCCAACGGCCGGTTTGTAGATGCGGTCCGGGAAGCATTTCGGAATTTCTGTGTCGGGTGCCGGGTGTGCGTCAAAGCATACCACATTGCCTGGTCAATCATGGTGGTACGCAATTATTGCTCAACCCATGGTATGCTCTAGCTTGGCATGCTGTTTTAAAGTCCCTCGGCATGGTATGTGGGGCATTCAGCGCAGCCTCTAAACTCTGCACGCGAGTGTCCACTGAAGTTGCTGTTTTTCCTCCATCCCATACTGTGCTATGCCTTCTCAAATTGACCAGGGCTTATCAAAGGTTAAGAGGACTGACTGGAACGTCTCCAACTCCCACCGGAAGAACAGTGAATGGATGGGGGGTTTGCACTGTAATGTGCGGTGGATTATCAAGGACCACTTCACACGCCACACCCCCGTGTACAACACAGACGTGAAGGGCTTCAAGTGGGGCGACCGTGGGCTGTATGTTCACGAGTCAGGATTTGAGGCCTTCCGGGGGAAGGCTGAGCTTGATGCCGAAACGAAGGACCTGAAGGAGGAAGAAAAGGAGGTGTAGGACTCGGAGGACATGGAGGAGGATAAGGAGGAGGAGGAGGAGGAGGAGGAGGAGGAGGAGGAGGAGGAGGAGGAGGAGGAGGAGGAGGAGGATTAGGAGGAGGAGGAGGAGGAGGAGGAGGAGGAGGAGGAGGAGGAGGAGGAGGAGGAGGAGGAGGAGGAGGAGGAGGAGGAGGATGACGAGGAGGAGGACGAGGAGGAGGACGAGGAGGAGGACGAGGAGGAGGAGGAGGAGGAGGAGGAGGAGGAGGAGGAGGAGGAGGAGGAGGAGGAGGAGGAGGAGGAGGAGGAGGAGGACGAGGAGGAGGAGGAGGAGGACGAGGACGAGGACGAGGACGAGGAGGAGGAGGAGGAGGAGGAGGAGGAGGAGGAGGAGGAGGAGGAGGAGGAGGAGGAGGAGGAGGAGGAGGAGGAGGAGGAGGAGGAGGAGGAGGAGGAGGAGGACGAGGAGGACGAGGAGGACGAGGAGGAGGAGGAGGAGGACGAGGAGGAGGACGAGGAGGAGGAGGACGAGGACGAGGACGAGGACGAGGACGAGGACGAGGAACAGTGGGGGCAGGAGCGGAGGAAGAGGAAAAGGCACAAGAGACCTAGGGCAGGCGGGAGGGATGAGGAAGAGGATGAGAAACGGGGGGTGCAAGAGCTTAGGAAGGGCAGAAGGCACAAGGGAGGGAAAACCAGGGGAGGCAGGAGGGAAGCGGACGAGGAAGAGGAGAAGGAAGAGGAGCTGGGGGATAAGAAACAGGGGGGGCAGGAGCGGAGGAAGGGCAGGAAGCACAAGAGAGGCAGAGGGCAGGGAAGCAGGAGGGAAGAGGAAGTGGAGGAAGATGAGGAAGAGGAGGAGCAGGAGGATGAGAAACAGGGGGGGCAGTTGCGGAGGAAGGGTAGAAAGCACAAGAGAGGCAGAGGCAAGGGAAGTTGGAGGGAAGTGGAAGAGGAGGAAGAGGAGGAAGAGGAGAAAGAGGAGGAAGAGGATGAGGATGAGGATGAGAAGCAGGGGGGCCAGGAGCAGAGGAAGGGCAAAAGGCACGAAAATGGCAAAAGAAGGGGAGGCAAGAGGGCCAAATGATGGTGTGACGAGACAAGGGGGGCTGCAGATGAGGCATGCGTGGAGTTTACAAAAGGGGACAGCAGGAGAGGCATCACATACGTGCGAGGAGAGGCATTGGTGGAGACAGCAAGGGGGGCATCAGGGAAGGCACGCGTGGATAGAGAAAGGGGGACAGCATTACGGAGGGGAGTGGTGCAAGGGCCGCAGCAGTATAGGCATGACCAGATAGGACAAAGAAAGCAGCAGTAAAGGCTTGACTGGAGGATGTCTAAGGCGGAGCAGCAGACGCATGACAGGGCTGGACATGCGAGCAAGCAGTGGACGCATGGGCAGGGCAATAGTACCACAATTAGTGAAGGAGGGATGGGAGATGCAGGAAGAGAGGCAGGAAGTGGGGTCGCAGCCAAGGCATGGATCATGGGGGCTAGGTGTAGGGGCGAGCATGCTCGGCCTAGAGCACGAGACATGGGGTGTAGTGGGAGACATAGTGTACGGGAGCATGAGAAGCAGGTTGATGCAGATCACCCTAACTGGCGGGGGTCTTTGACTAGAGAGGGTGGGGTGTAGGATGCTGTTGTATGTGCCTTTTTTGTTGAGAATAAAACCCATTTACCAACGCTTCTGTAATGGTCATTTTGGATGCTAGGATGAGGCAACTAAACATCTTGTTAAACAACATGTTAACCATTGCAAGTCTCCAATCCAACTTCATTATAACTAAACCGGATGTCCTTGAAGAGTACAATGCAATGAGATCCAATCTCCAAAATTGCTCTGCGGAAACTCCAACCAAACTTCTGCCGAAGGTTTTCACCTGAGAGGTTTGAACAGAGAAGCATCGCAGAAGCATTCGAACAGCGTTCGACAAAGCATCCAACAAAATAGTGTACCAAACAAGACGTTTATAAATCATTCAACAAAGCTTAAAAGCAACTCTTTCCAGAGGTTTTCTGGACGCAGGATTTTTGTGATGTAATACAATGGCCAACCAACATGAAACTTGACCCTTGACTTGATCACCATCAACATTATGTTCCTGTCAGGCTAGTTTCTCTCATATGTCAGCCCATGCATGGCCCGGAGGCCACAGCACAGTGCACGGGACATGCCATCGAGTGCTTGCTTGCACCCTTAACATCCAACTCCTGTAGCAGCTTCAGCTCGGTCAAATCGTCTGGCAAGGCCTTCAATTGCTCACAGTCAGAGAGGCTGAGTGTCCTCAGCCTGGTCAGCTTTGCAAACCTGGGAGGAAGGGAGCTGATAGAAGTACAGTCAACTCAAAGTAGGTGCAGGCAGCGAAGCTTCGTGAGCGAAGACGGTAGCTTCTGCAGGGCCCAACACTCTGGTAGATCCAGCTTACGCAGCCTGGATAATGCACCGATGCCAACCGGGATCGACGTAAGCTTGGGTGCAAGGACCTTTAACGATGTCAGGTGTTGGAGCTGTGAAACCGTTTCTTGCAGCTCCCTAAGCTCCTCAAAGTGACATACTCGCAATTTTCGCAGCTGCTGCAATGCTGAGCCAATGCTTCCTGGAAGGGTCCGAATCCTTTCACCATGCCAGATACTCAAGACTTGGAGCTGAGAAAGTGGGCTCAAGGGAATAGGAAACTCTTCAACGTTGTCTGCCAACCTCAGCTCCAAATGCCTTAAACGAGACAGGTGGTAAATGCAAGGCTGGATGTATGTCTGACCATTGTCGTTCCAAAACAGGTCCTCAAGGGAGAGTGGCAGTGACATAGGAAACTCACACAGTCGTTTACACCGTGTTACCTCCAACCTCTGTAACTCCCCAAGGCCGCTTAACCTTCTTGGCAGCACAGAAAGCTGTTGACACTGCTCAATGATCAAGGCTGTGAGCCTTGTGAGTCGTGTAACAGATTCTGGAATCTCGACGAGAGAAGAGCAGTTCCGAATGCAGAGATGCTGCAGGTTAGTCAGATTGCACAGACACTCAGAGACATCAACAATTGAGGAAACTGAAGGGGGAAGGTGCTCCTGCTTGCAGATTTCTAAGTGAAGAGTCTCAAGGTAACTGAGCCATCCAATCCAATCTGGAAGCACCATCTTCCCAATATGCTTGAGGCTCAGAGTCTTGAGAGTTGTAAGACTGCAAATCTCTGCTGGCAGCTGCATCTTGCCACAGTAATGCAGGGAAAGACTCTCCAGAGAAACAGCTTGGCAAAGGGATTCAGGTGGATTTAAACAAGACAGGTTGTGCAGGATCAGTGATTTATGGGACGGAAGCTCTCCGAAGTCGTTGGAAAGGCTGTGAAGCTTGCTGCAGCCTAAAATGGACAAGCGCTCCAATGCACTCAGGGAAGTGATGCTAGCGGGGAGTTGCTCAAGCTTATAACACTCCTGAATGGTAAGCTCACGGAGGAATGGCAACAGCTCTCCAAAGTCATCGGGGAGTCGCTGGAGGTTGGCGGAATTGGTGATCACCGGCTTTTCTAGACGGATGCACGGTGATTGTGTAGGAAACATCGAAGTAATATTCGGGGTAGAATCCGAGAACTCGATCATCTTCAGGTAAGGCAGCTGAGAAGATGCAAAAGTTGCAGCAGATGGTGAAGAGTTCTTAGGTTTGCAAATCTCATCGGAAATCGAAAGTATAGAGAGCCTTGAGATGCGAGCGAGGCTTGACAGTTGTTGACGTGTCAATTTTGAGACAGCAATATGGAGAGAAGTGAGAGATAATAGCGATGCAAATCTGGAAAGTGTCAAGGCTGAAACGTCGGTTAGAAGAACAGTGTGGAGATGCTGTAGCTGAAAGAAAGAATCCGGCAAGTCAGTATCTTTATGGAGGCAATGAAGCGAAATCTCCTCCAGGTGAGTACACTTCAGGAAGAAATGGTCCAGGCCGGCTTCAGTAACCGGGTGCTCATCCTTGCTTCCTCCACATTCCGTCGGTGCGATCCTGCGACCGACGTGAAGGGTCTTCAGCTTGGGATGTGAGGAGGCAAGCCGAGCGAGAAAAGAGTCGTCAATCATCTCGACACTGCCATCGCTCAAGTGAAGATTGGTGAGGTTGTCGAAACAAGCCACTACGTTCGCCAGATCTTGACGAGATACGAAGCGGTTTTCTTGGACTGAGAGACTAGTGACCTGACGCTTAACGAGTTGACGCCAGCGACTGCATACGGATGCGATGAGCAGATTAACTGCTGCATCTGCCAAGGCTGGAGGAGTGAATTTATCTGCATTGAAATGCCAACGCGGAAGCAATTACCACGGTGTAGTACCTCCTTGTGAAGGCAATTTATTCTGGAACCTTATAATCCTCGTAAGAAGGTCATCTGAGAGTCGATTAATGTGTGCGAGACGCTCCATCTGAACTTCACGGATCGACAGCAAGGACTGCTAAGAAATGTATGAGGATTGAAACAAGATTTCCTTCCCAAGGGATAAACTGACAAGGGACTACGAAAGTCTGCTCATATACGGATCTCACAATCTCAGCTCCTCATTCATTCTATACTAAAGATTTGAAAAACACGCAGCAACATTCGCTTTCTGATCTGCGGTCTGGAGGTAAGCAAGTACGCGCCGTGCTTGTGTTGCAGGAAGAGCTGCGGATATTAGGGGAGCTCCTTAGAAATTGTCGAAGCTGGGGAGATGGTGGCTGATGTGTTTTCCTACTCTCGAGGTCGCTCATGGCTAGACCTGACGAAGCAGCAAACGAGAGCCAGTCTTGGCTAGATGGGATTCCCTTCAGTGAGCCCAACCTGGGCTCTAGGTGACTGGATTACACGCTGGACGCAAGGCTACGGGAATCTCACTCTGAATCCGGGGACCCCCCACATATAGCCTTGAAAGTACAAGGTTTGGTTAGACGTACCCTTTTCATGATTCGGACAATTTCGAGATTTAGCTCTTCAAGCGAGGGTGGTGACTTTGTTCTCTCAAGCCTCGATTTAAGCACAGCACCTCGCTTCGATTAGCTAGCCCCCTCAGCGCGTCGAGGTGAAATCCTTGTGACTTGAAACTCTACCCAACCGTTCTGGATTCTTGATGAACCGACCGCAACCACGCAAAACATCTCATCAGACCACAATAAGGAACCACAGAACTGTAATTTATTGCTTCAGTCCCTCGTCAGAAGCTGGCTAACCGTTCGAACAGCCGTTTATGCGGCGATGCTTGAACCATAAGGCCAAGTGAATCGCTGTTTTCGCAGGCTTTTGCATTACTTGGATAATTGGGAAGTCACTTACGGCAACTCTTCCGTCTAGGTCGCATTTACCCCTACTACTTCACGACTACCAGTCGTCAGGTCGCAGGCACTTACCAGTCCTCTGTAATCTGACCAGCTGCGTGATCGGCCTTGCTTGTCATCCAGCTCTCGGCGTGTGCTCGCTTCACATTCGAGTACCGTCTCGGCATCGTGCATATACAATTCGACATTCCTTATATCGTCGTGCCTAGTTAGAATCCCTTGACATATCGTCTGAGAATTCTGAAAACCAGAAAATCCGACATTTCGGATATGGTTGTGCCTGATTAAGATCCCTCGGCGTACCCGCAATCGAGTAAAGGACGATGGACGTATGATGAGCTGAGGTAGCCTTTTTCAGAGTAAATTCTAAGGTTAAGGGCTTCATAATTGATTTAGGATAGAGCGTGTGAGCAGGATAAAACGCTTTACCACCACTTAGGCTAGGGAACCAGCAAACAACCGCATCAGATAGCAGCTTTAGCCGGTATCCCTTCAAGGTGGCTTCTTGATTCGAACCAGGAGGCAGCTAATTGGTTTGCGGGAAGCCGTCCGGTGCAGTCCGGTGCAGTTCGGAGCAGCATGGCCAACGCTCTAGAGGATCTCGAGAAAACCCTCGAGGCGAGTAGCTCGGCACGCTGCTGGTTTCACTGCGCTGTTCTGCCGCTGGCTAGGCGTTCAGGCAACCTGCGGCCTCTTCTTCCTTCCCACCCAAATTACACCCACTACTGACATCAAGTCAAATCAAGCCGCTGTTTTTGTTACCCTCCCTCTCTCCAGACCAGCTCCCAAGTGCATGTATCAGAGCTCCCAAGTGCACCTTTTCTGTCCTTTCGCCCTCCAGACCAGCGCTCATGTGCACATCTCAGGCCTCCACCCCACTTTTGAGGCACCTCAATTGCCGCATTCGCATGTGTGTCCTACCCTCCCTCCATCCCTCTCTCCCTCCAGACCAGCTCTCAGGTGCACATCTCAGGCCTCCACCCCACCATTGACAGCCACCCCCCTGCTCCCACCGCCGCTGCACTCCCCATCCCACCCTCTGCCCGCCCCTCCTCGTCCTCCGCCTCCTGCCCCTCCCCCTCTCTCTCCGACTCCCCCGCCATCCGCCCCACCATCACCTCCTCTGCCTCCGCCTCTCACTCCTCCCTGCTTAACTCAACATCCTTCTCTCTCAACCGCTCGTCACTGACCTCTCTGATTGGAGCTCACGGCAAGGAGCCGTTCCTTATTGGTGAGATCCCTTCCCCATGACCTCTCCCCCTCTCCTCCCGACATTGCTCCACGTCCTTCTCTCTCGACCGCTCCACATTGGTGGGTGAAGAGTATTTTTGAGAATTCTTTAAAAATACTCTGTGAACTTATTTTGTACGTACAGCCCCACCCAACCACACCTCGCCCCCCTGCCCGCCTCTCCTCCTCCCCACCCTCGTTCCGCCGCCCACTCCTTCCCTCCTCTTACTCCAGGCGTGTCAGGGGGAACGGCATCGGGCAAGACAACAGTGTGTGAGCAGATCATTCAACAACTGCACGACCACCGGGTGGTGCTGGTGCACCAGGTGAGATGCGGTGGTGTGCGATGCATTGGAAAGACAGGTGGACTGTGGTTGTTGAGTCAAGTCAGCAGTCATTCATTCAGCAGCTGCACGACTACTGGGTGGTGCTGGTGCATCAGATGAGAGGTGGTGCAATGCGGTGCAGCATGTGATGATGTATGGTGGGGTGTGAGATGGGGGAGTGCAGTTCCATGCCGCGCCATGGCGTGCATGTGCCCGACCGAACCCTACTGTATGAGGAGGTTTGAGGCGTCTACTGTACCACATGCAGCCTCTGAGGTGACATGCGTTCTCTTCAAACTCTCTGCTTTCGTGCTTGCTTGCTGACAGACAGGAATCCTTTTGCCGAGAGTTGACAGAGGAGTGTTTCTGGGCATAAGCATGTGCGCTAAGCTGGAAACTCTGCGTGTTCTCACTTGCCTCCCTCCGTGCTTCCATGCTGGCAGGACTCCTTCTACCGGGGGTTGACAGAGGAGGAGCTGAAGCATGCCAGTGAGGGGGTCTTTGGCGCCTCAGAAACCGTGCATGTGGGGAAAGGCATGTTTCTGAAGCGTTTTCTTGCTTTCGTCCGTGCTTGCTTGCTGGCAGGACTCCTTCTACCGAGGGTTGACAGAGGAGGAGCTGAAGCATGCCAGTGACTTTAATTTTGATCATCCTGGTAAGTGCCATGGTTCGCCATGGTGATCATCATAGTTTTGCCCGTCACCATGGCTCACTCAGTTGGGTTTGCATTGGATTACCACTTGTTGCTGCTTGCGGAGCGGTTACCATTGCAATTTGACAGAGGAGGAGCTCAATCATACCATGATTGTCCTACTTCAAATCCAACCGTCCTGGTAACCGCCGCCACCACTGCTGGTTTCCTAAAACCACTGTGAATTGTTTCCTGGTAACCGCCAATTGAAGAACGCCTCACAACCATCACTACCAGTTTCCTGGTGAACATTCTTTGCTTTCCTTTCCACCCCCGTTGCTCTCAAGGAGTGCCGGCGGCCCTATCAGTGGAATGATGGATAATCTTGCAAGCTGCCCTGCCCTGCCATTGTGCCCACCCGCCTCCTTCCCCTGTCCTCCCTTCTTGCCATCTCCCCCCCACCTTCTCCCACTCAGATGCATTTGATACGAACACGTTTTGTCCCATCCTCATTGCTCCAAAGGAGAACCGGTGGATGGATGGATACCTGCAGTGCTATACGCCTTCCTCTGCCCCCGCCTCCAACTCCTGAACCCTCTCAAACCCCCCCCTTCCCCCTCCTCCCTCCTTCCCCCTTCAGACGCCTTTGACATGGACGCACTGCTTTCCAGTTCCAACCATTGTTGCTCTTAAGGAGGGTCGGTCGGTGGAAATCCCCATGTCTGTCTGTCCCCTTCCTGATCCCTCCCCTCCTCCCGTCCTGATCCCTCCCCTCCTCCCCTCTCCCCTTACCTTGTCAGACGCTTTTGACACGGATGCGCTGCTTTCAACCATCGTAGCTCTCAAGGAAGGCCAGTCAGTGGAGATCCCAGTGTATGACTTCAAGACACACCAACGGAGCACGGCCGTGAGGAAGGTGCGTGTTTGGATGGAGGGAAGGTGGTTGCACGGCCGTGTTTGTGCGTGCGTGCCCTCCCTGGTTTCAATCTCAAGGAGGGCCAGTCAGTGGAGATCCCAGTGTATGATTTCAAGACACACCAACGGAGCACGGCTGTGAGGAAGGTGCGTGAGTGGAAGGAGGGTGGGTGTGTGGTATATGACATTATTTTCCTGTGCATTCACCCTCCCTTGGCATTCTCAAGGAGTGGCAATTAGTGGAGATTCCCGTGTATGATTTCAAGACACACCAACGGAGCACGGCTGTGAGGAAGGTGGGTGGATGGGAAATGATTACTGTGGTGGGTAAAGGTTACCGTACGATCATGCTTGCGTATGTATGCGTACTTTCGTGGTTTCACTCTCGAAGGCATTATGGTGTTCCATGATGCCAGGGTGCGAGTGCTGATGAACATGAAGATCCACGTGGATACAAAGGCCGACGTGCACATATGAAATGAACTCATGAACACAGATGCACTCTCATGCACACATAAGGCCTCTGGATACTCACCAAACCCCTCAAACCCCCCCTCTTCCCTTCCTGTCTCCCTCTTTCCCGCCTGCCTCCCCTTCTTCCCCCACCCTTACCCTCCACTGAAACACCCACATCAGACCAACTCTGCTGACGTCATTGTTCTCGAGGGCATCCTAGTGTTCCACGATGCGAGGGTGCGAGCACTGATGAACATGAAGATATTTGTGGATACAGATGCCGACGTGCGATTGGCCAGGAGGATCCGCAGGGACACGCTGGAGCGAGGGCGCGACGTGCAAGGGGTGATTGACCAGGTGTGTGTGTGGTTACAACAAGGGGTGTGACTTTAACGAATGGTGATTGATCAAGTGTAATAAAAATATATATATCATACAACAAGGGGTGATCAGCCTAGTCGGAGGGAGTAGATCTCGAATGTGTGACTAGCGAGGCACGGCGTGCAAAGGGTGATTGACCAGGTGTGATTGTATGAGATTAGGTGTGATTATAACGGGTTTAGGTGTGACTATAAAGAGTTCCGATTGATCGAGTGTGGTTGTAGGGGGGAGGGGGTTCACCAGGTCTTATTGTAACAGAAGGATCTTGAATATTCCACCAAGGGGTGGTTTACTGATTGACCTGATTATCGCACGCGACCATATTCGGAGACACAAACAGATGGAGACGCGCGATTGGCCAGGAAGTCGGCAGCGACACACTGGAGCGATGGCTTAGAGGATATATCTGAGAGCATGAACAATCGGCTGTCATGTCTGCGGGAGCTCATCATCAGCGAGTGCTGACGTTTCTCGGCACAACCCGAGCAGTTCACCTCATTGACTCGTCTGTGCAGCTTGAGGCTCTCCAGCTGCACATTCGTCGGACGCCTGACAACCTTGAGAACATGCCCAACCTGAAAACGCGACGAGCTCGACCTCGATGTCTTGACTCATGCAGCCTCCTCAAGTCTCTAGAGATGCTGGTCATTACACACTGCATGTCTCTAGTCGAGCTACCGCACCCGTCGGGCACTTTCACTGCACTCACGACCCTTTGCCTCGAAGGTTCTCTCTTGCTCACTCTTCCTGTTGAGATTGGAGGTTGAGGAGCTCTCCAATGCCGTTAGGAAGAGTGAGCAAGGGAAAATCGTTGAGGCAGAGGGTCTTAAGTGCAGTGAGAGCGCCTAACGGGTGCGGTAGCTCGACTAGAGACGTCAGTGTGTAATGACCAGCGTCTTTAGGGACTTGAGGCGGCTGCATGAGTCAACGAATCTCGCATCAAGATCGAGCTCGTCCAGCAGGAGCGTTTTCAGTTCAGGTCGGGCATGTCCCCGAGAGGCTGTCAGGCAGTCCATCGAATGTGCAGCTGGAGAGCTTCAAGATGCGGAGGCAGGTCAAGGAGGTGACCTGCTCGGGTTGTTCCGTGAAACGTCTGCAGTCGCCGATGTTGAGCTCCCACAGACACGGCAGCCGATCACTCGTGTTCTCGGGGAGATCCTCCAAGTCCTTGGTCCAATCCGCGTGTCCCTGCAGATCGACGTGCAAGGGGTGATTGACCAGGTGCGTGTGATTATCACGAGGGATATTGATCAGGTGTGATTTCCACTTCCATTCCCTGCATTCCAGTATGCTTGCTTTGTGAACCCAGGCTTTATATACCCTTGCACTCCGTTTCCCCTCCATCCTGTCCTGCCTTCCTTTTTTCTCCCCTGTCCTTTCAAATTTTTCCCATTCCTTCCATTTCTTTCCTGTTCCTTTCCTTCTCCTTCCCTTTTTTTCCCATCCCTACGCTTCCATCCCTATCCATCCCTCCCCTTTCACCCTGTATGCTCCCTCCGCCTTTAAAGCCAGCTTTCTGATGATTTCCTTGCTTAGTTCAATGAAAATTTGGTGCAGATTCAGAACACAGATCATCATTTCCCTGCCATCCCATCCCGCTCCTTCCCTTCTCTTCCCTTTCTCTTCCCTACCTTTCGTCCATCCCCTTCCTTTACTCCAATCCAGTACGCTCGTTTTGTCAAACCAGCCTTCGATGATTTCGTGCTGCCCTCAAAGAAGTTTGCTGACATAATCATTCCCAGGGGAGGAGACAACCACGTGGCAGTGAACCTGATAGTGCAGCATATAGGGTCGAAGCTGGGGCAGCATGACCTGAGGAAGATCTACAGCAACGTACACGTTATAGAGTCAACGTTTCAGGTGTGTGGTGCAGTGTGGTGCGGTGCAGTGCGGTGAGGTGTGGTGCACTTAGGTGTGGTGCGGTGCGGTGCGGTGACAACCACGTGGCAGTGAACCTAATAGTGCAGCATATAGGGTCCAAGCTCGGGCAGCATGATCTGAGGAAGATCTACAGCAGCGGTGTGGTACACTCTCATTCAACAAGCTAACCAAGCAGCGCAAAGTGCTTGTCTCCTCCTGCGTGCCTCATCCGAATTCCACTTTCTCCCCTTTTCCCTCATTCCCTCCCCCTGTCCCTCTCATCTCATGCACACCACGCTCATCCGCAACAAAGGGCACTCTTCTGTGGGAATGAAAGCACAACATGTATACCTTTCCTGTCTGGCTCATCCACATTCTACATTTATCTCCCCTTACCCGTCTCCATTTCCTCACCCCGCTGCTCTCTAATGCCACCAGGTGCGGGGTATGCACACGCTCATCCGAAACAGGGACTCCAAGAAACACTCGTCTTCTCCATGCCTCATTCCCTCTGCCCCTCTCTCCCCATCAACCACCCCTCTCTTATGCCACCAGGTGCGGGGTATGCACACACTCATCCGAAACAGGGACACCAAGAAGCCTTTACAGTCGACTCAAGAGTTATCCCCCCTATTCCTTTCCCACAATCCCCACCAGGTGCGGGGCATGCACACGCTCATCCGAAACAGGGACACCAAGAAGCTTTTACAGTCGACTCAAGAGTTATTCCCCCTATTCCTTTCCCACAATCCCCACCAGGTGCGGGGCATGCACACGCTCATCCGAAACAGGGACACCAAGAAGCACAACTCCGTCTGTTACATGCCGCATTCCCTCTGCCGCTATTCCCCCCCCCCGTAACCCCGTCTCTCTAATGCCACCAGGTGCGGGGTATGCACACCCTCATTCGCAACAGGGACACCAAGAAGCACAACTTTGTCTTTTACATGCCGCATTCCCTCTGCCGCTATCCCCCCCCCCCGCAACCCCGTCTCTCTAATGCCACCAGGTGCGGGGTATGCACACCCTCATTCGCAACAGGGACACAAAGAAGCACAACTTTGTCTTTTACATGCTTCATTCCCTCTGCTGCTATTCCCCCCCCGCAACCCCGTCTCTCTAATGCCACCAGGTGCGGGGTATGCACACCCTCATTTGCAACAGGGACACGAAGAAGCACAACTTTGTCTTTTACATGCTTCATTCCCTCTGCTGCTATTCCCCCCCCGCAACCCCGTCTCTCTAATGCCACCAGGTGCGGGGTATGCACACCCTCATTCGCAACAGGGACACGAAGAAGCACAACTTTGTCTTTTACGCCGACCGCCTCATTCGCCTCGTGAGTCCCTCTCTCTCTAGTCTTTTCGTTACAGGCAATGCACTCACTCACCCATGCCACTCCACACCGCACACCACCCATCTCATGCTCTCTCTCATCTCATCCATGCCACCAAGAAGCACAACTTTGTCTTCTATGCCGACCGTCTGATTCGGCTCGTAAATTGCATTCGCCTCGGACGTCCCTTTGGGGTCCACGTGTCATGGAGCTGTTACTTTTAAGAATTCTCAATGCTCACAAGAGGTTTTTGTACCACCTCCCTGTCACAGTCATTTTTCTCCCATGGTCTCAAGTTTTTTTCCCTCCTTGTTCTCCTCTTCCCTCCTCTCTTTCCTCCACTTCCCCTCGTCTTTCTCTCCTCGTCCCCTTCTTCTTCTTCCCAATCACTCCCATATGCTGGTGGAGCATGGGCTGGCCTGCTTCCCTTTCACAATTCCAATAGTCTCATATTTGCTTCCCACCTCCTCCCCTCCTCTTCCCCTCCTCTTCGCCTCCTCCTCCCCTCCTCTTCGCCTCTTCTTCCCCTCCTCTTCCCCTCCACTTTCCTTCCTCTTTCCCTCCTCTTTTCCTCCACTTCCCGTCCTCTTTCCTTCCTCTTTCGCTTCCTCCCCCCCATCACCACCATCAGCTCGTGGAGCATGGGCTAGGCCACCTTCCTTTCACTGAAATTCAAGTCACCACCCCGACGGGTGAGTAGCACTGGATTGTCACAGCTGCACCTACTCGCCCTCTATTTCAACCCACCCCACTTTTCAACCAAGGTGACTTTTAAGTCGACTCAAAAGTCACCTAGTCGACTCAAAAGTCACCTAGTCGACTCAAAAGTCCTTAGCCGACTCAAAAGTCCTTAGTCGACTCAAAAGTCCCTAGTCGACTCAAACGGCACCGAATTGTCACAGCTGCACCTACTCGCCTTCTATTTCAACCCACCCCACTTTTCAACCGAGGTGACTTTTAAGTTGACTCAAAAGTCACCTAGTCGACTCAAAAGTCCTTAGTCGACTCAAAAGTCACCTAGTCGACTCAAAAGTCCTTAGTCGACTCAAAAGTCACCTAGTCGACTCAAAAGTCCTTAGCCGACTCAAAAGTCTCTAGTCGACTCAAAAGTCCTTAGCCGACTCAAAAGTCCTTAGTCGACTCAAAAGTCCTTAGCCGACTCAAAAGTCCTTGGTCGACTCAAAAGTCCCTAGTCGACTCAAACGGCACCGAATTGTCACAGCTGCACCTACTCGCCTTCTATTTCAACCCACCCCACTTTTCAAACGCCTTTGTCTCAGTGCAATTGAAGTGACCGCCCCTACAGCTTTGAGATATTCCTGGGCATTTCGGGAAGAGACACCATAGGAGCAGCTCTTACATCTTAGGCGTAGGCTAGGTCTTGCCGTCCCATTCTCTTCCCAACCTTCCCCTCCCTATCCACATGCAGGCTCAACATATGTGGGTATCAACTTTAGCAAGAAGCTATGCGGAGTGTCCATAATTCGCAGGTAGGTATTTCCTACTTGTATAGGGAGTGTGGGGTGTTAGGCATTTTTCGTTATGCTGAAGTATGTGATTGTGTCTGTGTTTATGATTTCTCTGTGGAGTGTCCACTTTTCAAAGGTATGGCGTACGGGGTGTGTGTGTGTGTGTGGGATGCGAGGCATGCTTTGTGTTTCTCGTCCCTTGTGCATATGTGTCTATTTTTGCCCCACGTGTAGTGAGTCTATTTTTGAGTCGACTCAAAAATAGACTCGCTATGTTTGCCCCATCCTCCCTTTGCACTGGCAAGCGCATGTAGGACGAGCGTGCTCCAGGGGAATGTAAGATCCTCTGTCTGTCCCATATACCCTTCCTATTGGGCGTATCTGAATGAAACCATGTCTGCTTCTGCCCGAGTTTTGAGACGTCTCAAAACTCGAAAACTCGCTTCTTTTTGAGACGTCTCAAAACATGATGATCCCCTGTCCCATACACCCTCCCTATTGGGCGTATCTGAATGAAACCATGTCTGCTTGTGCCCCTCCTTGTACCCCCCTTCTTTCATCCCATGGCACGGCAGTGGCGAGAGCATGGAGAATGCGTTAAGAGCATGCTGCAAGGGAGTGAAGATTGGGAAGATATTGATTCACAGAGAGGGGGACTATGGCAAGCAGGTAAGGATTGGATTTTCAATCCTGTCGAGTATGTGTGTGGGTGCATGCATGTGTGCATCACTCGTTTGTTTTTTCATGCTGCATGGGAGGGGTGCCTACAGCAAGCAGGTGAGGCGCAAACCACCCCTATTCCTCCCTCCCTCTCTCTCCTCTCTGTTTCCCTGCTCTCGTTTGTATGCATATGCATGCATACACCGGTGGTGCCTTTTGCGCAACATGTTGATGCTGACGTGAATCGTTCCGAATCGGTGGCAATTTTGAAGGGAGTGAAGATGGACAGAACACCCATCCACAGGGATGGCGACTTTGGCAAGCAGGTGAGGCTTCTTTGCCTTCTATGATGTGTGTGTGCGCACTGTGCATTTTGCATTGTATGTGCATTCTCTTAAGCATTAGTGTGATATCACCTTGCCTCGCCCCTGTGCTGAAAGGGAGTGAAGATGGGCAGAACACCCATCCACAGGGATGGCGACTTTGGCAAGCAGGTGAGGCTTCTTTGCCTTCTGTACAAGCCATTCAGCATGTGTGTACAGAAATTGACAGACAGACCATTCCCATCTCAAATGTCCTAAACCCATCTAGAAACAAACCTCACTTTTAAAATGGGCTTGGGAAGCAGGTGAGGCATCTTCCCTCTCTGAATTTTGAGTCGACTCGAAAAGTCAGAAGTCAACTTTTGAGTCGACTAAAATGTCAGGGGGTGAGGCATCTTCGCTCTTTGCTCATCGCAGCTCCTAGTTTATTCCACTTCGACATGTGTGTGCTATAAGTGCATTATGTGTGTCGCTTTCTCCCTTGCTGCTCATGCTCCCTCTCCCCCTTCACCTCCCCTTCTCCCTTCCCCACCAGCTCATACACAAGAGTTTCCCAGGGACATCTCCCAGAGGCATTCTTTCTCCCCCTTCCTCACATCTTTGCTCCCTCACTCCCCATACTCCACCTCCCCCATCCCCTTTCTGCAATCTTCCGCCAGCTCATACACGAGAAGCCCCCCCGAGACATCATCTCACAGAGGCATTCTTTCACCTTGTTTATCTTACCTCCCCTCCTTGCTCCCCATGCTCTCTACCCCTCCTCTTCCCCCTTTCCATCCCCGCCAGCTGATATACGAGAAGCTCCCCCGGGACATCGCCCAGAGGCATGTCATGCTGCTCGACCCTGTGCTGGCGTCAGGTGAGGCTTTACCCCCCTCCCTCCTCGCCTGGCACGTGATGCTGCTGGGCCCGGTGCTCTCCTCAGATAAGCACCCTTATCCCGGTACTACTTACTACTTACTGCTTACTAGTTCCTATTTAGTGCTTACTCGTTACTACTTACAGCTTACTGCCAATCAAGTGACCTATACACTGCCCTTCGATCTTATTAAAGTGCTGCTTTGCTTGGCCTTCTGCCTTGATTTCACCCCTCTCCATCAGGCCGCTCTGCCATGAAGGCTATCGAGCTGCTGTTGCACCGAGGGGTGGTAGAGATGGGACTGAACCTTCATGCTTACGCTCCGCATCCTTTGCCTTGATTCCGATCCCCCTTATTCTCCTATTCCCCCTATTCGCTCTCCCCTCCAGGCCGCTCTGCCATCAAGGCTATCGAGCTGCTGCTGCACCGAGGGGTGCCTGAGGAGCGAATCATCTTCCTCAACCTCATCTCGGTAAGTTCATGATTAGAAGGGGGGCAGAATCATATTCCTCAACTCATTCCAGTGAGTTTATGAGGAGCGCAGAGCGGTATTTAGTGGTGCAGGATATTATCAGCTGGGTTATTCTTCATCCGAGCTGCTGCTGCAACAGAAGGGTGCCTGACGAGCAAACCATTTTCCTCAACCTCATCTCGGTGAGCTCATGACTTCAAGGGATTAAGAACGGTACTTGGTGGTGAAGAGAACAACCAGTTGGGTTCTTGCTCACCACAGCTGCTGCAAGCAGGGGTGCGTGACGAGCAAAGCATGTTCTTCAACCTCACCAGTGAGTGTAATAAGCGAATTACAGAGCGGTAATTAGTGGTGAAGAGGGTTATCATCTTGGACATTCCTTACCCCTGCTCCCTTTCTATCTTCCCTGCTCTAACCTCCCTCCCCCAGGCCCCTGAGGGCATTCACAAAGTGTGTCGGTGCTTCCACCACCTCATTAGTTCATTTCCATGTTCCATCTTTCACCTTACCTTTCCCCCCATGCTCCTTCACACCCATCCTTCCCTCCCCCAGGCCCCAGAGGGCATTCACAAAGTGTGTCGGTGCTTCCACCACCTCAAGATCGCCATGCCTTCCCATTTACCTTTCCTGCTCCCACCCACCCTTCTCTCTGCTCCTTCTTCGCCTGTTGCAAACCTCCATCCTCCCGCCAGGCACCGGAGGGCATTCACAATGTGTGCCGCCGCTTCCCCCACCTCAGCGTCCCTGTGTCTTGTTCTTTCTCTGCCCTTCCATTGCTCGCCTCCTCTTCGCGCCCCTTCCATTCCCTACACCCCACCACTCCTCCCCCCCCCCAAGGCTCCGGAGGGCATTCACAATGTGTGCCGCCGCTTCCGCCACCTCAAGGTCCTTACTCATCTTTGTTCTTTCTCCTGCCTTCCCTGCACCCACCCATCCTTCCCTCCCCCAGCCCCCGGAGGGCATTCACAATGTGTGCCGCCGCTTCTGCCACCTCAAGGTCCATACTCATCTCTGTTCTTTCTCCTGCCTTCCCTGCACCCACCCATCCTTCCCTCCCCCAGCCCCCGGAGGGCATTCACAATGTGTGCCGCCGCTTCCGCCACCTCAAGGTCCATACTCATCTTTGTTCTTTCTCCTGCCTTCCCTGCACCCACCCATCCTTCCCTCCCCCAGCCCCCGGAGGGCATTCACAATGTGTGCCGCCGCTTCCGCCACCTCAAGGTCCATACTCATCTTTGTTCTTTCTCCTGCCTTCCCTGCACCCACCCATCCTTCCCTCCCCCAGCCCCCGGAGGGCATTCACAATGTGTGCCGCCGCTTCCGCCACCTCAAGGTCCATACTCATCTTTGTTCTTTCTCCTGCCTTCCCTGCACCCACCCATCCTTCCCTCCCCCAGCCCCCTGAGGGCATTCACAATGGTTTTGAGACGTCTCAAAAACAACCTCGCTGCACGTTGCCGCCGCTTCCCCCACCTCAAGATAGTGACATCGGAGATCGATTCGGGGTTTAATGAGGAGTATCGAGCAGGGTAGGGGTGGGGGTTTGGCGTGGGGAGTAATGAGGAGTGCAGAGTGGTGTCAGCACCTCCCTCACCTTGCGATCCCTGTGTCTTTTTTCCCTCGCCGCCCATCCATTGCTCGCCTCTACCTGTTACTGTGCCCCACCCAACCCCTCCTTCAGGCCCCGGAGGGCATTCACAACGTGTGCCGCCGCTTCCCCCACCTCAAGATCGTGACATCGGAAATCGACTCGGGGATTAACGAGGAGTACAGAGTGGTGCCAGGAATGGGGGAGTTTGGGGACCGGTACTTTGGTACAGAGGAGGGGGATGCTGGGAGGGATGATGAGAGGGATGGTGATGGTGACGCTTTTGAGGCGTCTTGATGTGTGGGGAGGGGTGGGAGGTTGTTGCGGGGATTGAGGAGGAGTTGAGAGTTGTGCCTGGGATGGGGGAGTTCGGAGACAGGGATGGGGGAGTTCGGAGACAGGGATGGGGGAGTTCGGAGACGGAGATGGGGGAGTTCGGAGACAGGGATGGGGGAGTTCGGAGACAGGGGGGAGTTCGGAGACAGGGATGGGGGAGTTCGGAGACAGGGATGGGGGAGTTCGGAGACAGGGATGGGGGAGTTCGGAGACAGGGATGGGGGAGTTCGGAGACGGGGATGGGGGAGTTCGGAGACAGGGATGGGGGAGTTCGGAGACAGGGATGGGGGAGTTCGGAGACAGGGATGGGGGAGTTCGGAGACAGGGGGGAGTTCGGAGACAGGGATGGGGGAGTTCGGAGACAGGGATGGGGGAGTTCGGAGACAGGGATGGGGGAGTTCGGAGACAGGGATGGGGGAGTTCGGAGACAGGGATGGGGGAGTTCGGAGACAGAAATGGGGGAGTTCGGGGACAGGGATGGGGGAGTTCGGAGACAGGTACTTTGGCACAGAGGAGGGGGATGATGGGAGGGTTGATGATGGGGATGGGGATGGGGATGGGGATGGGGATGGGGATGGGGATGGTGATGGTGACGGTGATGGTGATGGCGATGGTGATGGCAGGCAATGCTTTTGAGCTTGGTGAGGAGCGACGAAGGAGGGGAGGGAGAGGAGAAATGTGGAGCCCTTGTTGCTTCCAATGCTGCTGTGGCTGTTAGTGCTGCCAGTGCCAGTAATACCGGTAGTCCCGGTTTTAACCATTGGGACAGCATAAACATGATTTGTTCAACAGGAAAAATAAACGAAAGCTGTTGTCCTATCATATGGTAGTAGCTTATCCATCGCTGTCAACTGGGAATGTGCTTTCCCTAAAGGCCCGGTGGTCAGTCAGACCATGTCTTGCACAGTCATACATACGTCAGGTTGAACAAACAAGAAATAAATTAACGAGCAATCAAAACCGAGCATATCATTGAAAAGCTGTTACGAGTGCAATTGAGTGAACGAGTGAGAATTGCACTATCGAAGCAAGAGTCCAATGGGCGAAGGTATGAGCGAAGAATATATAGCGAAACTACAGTGGTAACGGTAATGGTCGCGCGACGAGCCTGGGACTGAGGTTGGGAACGTGTCGAAGCGTAGGCCCGGAGCGCGGGTTACCAGCCGAGCCGTGAGGTCGGGATGCGATGTGCGAAAATGGCGGGATGATGAATGATGCGATGGTTGTGAGTGGTAACGGTGCTGACTGAGGTGCTACAGTGATGTACGCGTTGAGCAGAGATGCGAAGTAAGGAAAAGGGAATTTCCTTACACTACCCCCCCCTCCTAAAAGGTCCTCCTTACGAAAGCGCGAGGGCGTCTTTGAAGTTTCGGCTGCGTAGATAGTCGGTGACGACAGGGTGGTTTTCAATTCTGTCCAGGGGAACCCAGTTGTCCTCGGTGGGTGTACGATCTTTCCAGCGAATCAGAAACTCAACTTTTCGGGCCCCTCGAGGGTCGCGAACTCTGTGGCTCAAGATTTTGTCGGGGGTGATGACTGGTTCGGTTGGTGGTCGTGACATGCTGGATGGTCGATGTCGTGGGAGTTGGCTGGTGGATGGTACGTAAGGGCGAAGCAGGCTGACGTGGAACGAGGGGCTGACGTACCAGTCAGCAGGAAGGAGGAGGTGCGCGGTGACAGGTGTGATCATGTGACTGATTCGAAATGGCCCACAGTATCGAGGGCGGAGTTTGGGAGTGATGGGCAGGCGGAGGTTCTGAGTGTCGAGTAAAACGAGGTCGTCGGACTGATAAGTGACGGGTCTGCGGTGGCGATCGGCGTTGCGTTTAGCGATGATATTTGATTTTTTAATTGCTTCTGCTGCCCTGGTCCGTGCTGCTTGCAAAATCTCGGCGAACTGTTGTGCGCGTGGAACGGGATTGTCGGGGTTTGGTGTCATGGGTACTGTTGGGTTATGTCCGTAATTCAAGTAGAATGGCGACTGTTGGGTCGTGGCAGATGGCGCGTTGTTGTATGCGAACTCGATGAGAGGCAGCTGCTGCTCCCACGTGTTTGGATCGTCACACGTGGCTCGAATGAGTTGCTCCATAGTCTGGTTTGTCCGTTCTGTCTGTCCGTCGGTTTCGGGGTGATACGATGAACTGAATTGAAGTCGCGTGCCGAACTGCTGCCACAGGTTCCGCCAGAAATTACTGGTAAACTTCGTGTCCCTGTCGCTGATGATTCACGCTGGTATCCCGTGCAGTCGAACGACGGTGGCGATGAAGAGTCGGGCTGTTTCCTCGGCTGTGATTGATTTCGTGCATGCTGCGAAATGTGCCATTTTCGTTAGTCGATCGACGACGACCAGGATCGCGTCATTCCCACTCGCCCCGGCCGGTAACCCCGTGACGAAGTCCATCGTCACCTGCTACCAAGCACGCTCTGGAGGTGGGATTGGTTGTAATTGTCCTGCCGGCCGCTTCCTGGTTGACTTCATGAGTTGGCAAGTGGGACACGATGCCACGTGTCGTTGCACGTCGGTCAACATTTCCGGCCAGTAATAGTACCGCTGCAGCTGCTGCCGTGTTTTTTCTACTCCGAAATGTCCCGAGGTAACTCCGTCGTGTGCCTCCTGTAACAGTAGTTCCCGTAGTAGCGTGTACCCTGGTACCCAGATGCGGTCGGATCCAGCTTTTACGTAATAGGCTCCCTTGGCTGCTGCGAATTGCTGTGAATTTCCTCCTGTGAAGAATGGGTCTGTTTGATATCCGTGGGTAAATAGTCCTGTCAGTAACGGGCTGGTCTGGGCGAGTAGTATCGCATGTATTTGGGCAGTGGGGCGGGTCAGTGCGCCGGCGATATTCGAGGCTCCTTTTTTATATGTGACCGTATAGTGGAAATTCGATTCGAGGAAGTCGAGCCACCGAATCTGTCGTGGGTTGAGGTGGGGCTGTGCGAGAAGGTACTGTAGGGATCGATGGTCTGTCCGTACTGTCACGTCTGCGCCGGTCAAGTAGCAACGCCACACTTTGAATGCATGCACGATCGCGAGCATTTCGCGGTCGTGTATCGGGTAATTTCGCTCAGGTGGATGTTGCTTGCGTGATTCGTAGGCGATGGGTTGGAGGCCGTTGCCGAAGTCCTGTAACAGTACGGCTCCGATGGCGATGTCACTCGCGTCTGTAACAACTTCGAAGGGGCGGTGTGGGTCAGCGATGCGTAGGACGGGTGGTGAACAGAGAACATTTTTCAGGGCAGAGAAGGCAGCATGCTCTTTCTCCCCCCACGTAAAAGGGACCCCCTTACGCAGTAAATCAGTGAGCGGGGCTGTTAAGCGTGCCATGTCGGGGACGAACCGACGAACGTAATTAACAAACCCTAAAAAACTCTGTAGTTCCGTGATGTTCGTCGGGGATGCCACGCTTTTACGGTATCCAGCTTCTTAGGGTCTATCTCAACCCCAGCCTCCGAAATGACGTGACCTAAAAACTCTAGCCTGTCCCGAAAAAACTCGCACTTGGAGCCCTTGGTGAGTAACCGATGTGCCTCTAAATATTAAAAACTGCTTCGAGATCTACTAAGTGCTGCTGCTGGTCCCGACTGTAAACGAGGATGTCGTCGAGGTAAACTATAACGCATTTATCTAAAAGTGGCCTAAACGCCTCGTTCATGGTCATCTGAAATGTTGCAGGCGCGTTGGTCAGCCCGAAAGGCATCACCGTGTACTCGAATGACCCGTACCTAGTCCTAAATGCTGTCTTGGCGCAGTCCGATGGTTCGACCCGAATTTGATGGTAACCTCCCCGTAAGTCTATTTTCGAAAATAATCGTGCGGTTCGCAGCTGGTCGATCAGTTCGTCGGCGCGGGGGATGGGGTATCGTGATTTTACTGTTATCCTGTTAAGCGCTCGGTAGTCGATGCACATGCGAAACCCCCCGTCTTTTTTCGGTGTGAACAGTATCGGTGCGGCGAACGGTGACGAGCTCGGTCGGATAAACTGCTTCTCTAACAGGTAATCTAACTGCTTCCTTAGCTCGTCGAGCTCGGGCTGTGTCAGTCGAAATTGGCGCTGTACAGTTGGCTGTGCCCCCGGTTCTAACTCGATCCTATGGTCATGCGCCCGCTGAGGTGGCAGCCCTTGCGGTAAGTCATCCGGAAAGATACCCGGGAACCGTTTCAGTAGTGCCTGTAGTTCGGGTGGTACGGCTGCCAACAGTTTCTGCAAATCACTCGGCCGGTCCTCTTTTTCCACTAATGCGATATCCACTGCGTACACGTCAGCTCCAGCAGCGACAGCCCGTTTCATCGTGATGGCGTTGACCTGGACCGTCGAAGACTCGGGTGGCTGCTAGCGAGGTAGGACGACCCAGTTACCACTACTTCGCACTGTGCAGCTCCCCGTCGTCCAGTCAATTCGTGGGTTATACCGTCGCAGCCAATCACGTCCCAATAAAATGTCGTGCCCATCCAGTGTCGTTGCGAGCATTTCCTGTGTAAACCCGAAGTTCCCTCCGCAGCGGACCTTTACTCTCTCCACCTTTTCCCGTATAGCCAGCGGCGTGCCGTCGACTAAGCGTGCATCTATCTCAGGTAAGCATCGGTTAAGTGTTAACTGTAATTTCCGTGCGGTTGCGGTATTAACTTAGCTGTGACTTGCTCCTCCGTCAATAAAAATCTTCACTGCTGCTCCCTGTATTTTCCCGTAGATTAGTACCGGGCAATCCATCGCTGTACCCTCCTTATTCATCCGAGCCCGATCGATGGCATGAATCGGTACTGTGACTCGGTGAGGGTCGGTGTGGTTGGGCGAGCAGGCAGTCTCGTCAGTAGTTGGCCCAACTTCTACTGACTGCTGGCGTTTCCCTGCCTCTGAGACTCCCTCCCCTGCTCTGCTCCTCGGCGCCTCAGCTCCTCTGGGCATTCGCTCTTGCGATGGCCCGGCCTGTTGCAAGCAAAGCAGCGCCCCTTAAACGGTGCGGCAGCTGCATTCGTTGCGACGGCGTGTACAGTGGCATGCTCGGTCGGTCCCCGAGGACGATGTCCGTAATAGGACCCCAGTCTCGGTCGACGTAGAATGTCGATCTTCTCGGCGAGCGCGAGAATCTCGTTGAAGTTAGAGAGTCCGCGCAGCATTATCTCGTGCGAGATGTCCGGCTTCAGCCCTCCGACGTAACGGTCCACCCGCTCCGCTTCGTGCATGTAGCCGACCTGCTCGCAAAGTGCGAGAAAACCGCTGGTATAGTCTTGAACTGACCCGAGCTGGCGCCAAGTGCGCAGTTTCTGACGCGCCGAAATTGAAGCCGCGATCGGCTCAAAACGCGCCCGAAGTCCTGGGCACCACGCATCCCACGTGCTGTATTGGGCGGTCTCGCAGAACGAACTCCAGGTGACAGCTGGACCCGAGGGCCCTTCCTCGTGCGACGGTGGCTCGTTGGCGCGTGGCGACGTCACGATGACTCGCCACAAGTCCATGGCGGGGCCTCTTAGCAGTGAAACCGCATACCGGATCTTTGCGGCGTCCGACTCGACGTAATTGGCGTCGAAGAAAACGTTCATCGTGAAGACCCACGATTGAACTGTCGGACCGCCGCGTTGACTTGGGTCGAAGCAGGGCGGGCGTTGCGGCTTGAGCGGCATTGGTGCCATGTTGGGTTGTTCGCCACTTGTCGCCGCAAATTCCACGTGCCGACGGACTTCTCGAGGCTCCCGTGGGCTTGGTGCGATCCTGTTTCCTCCCATGCCAGGCATCAGCTGGGCGGCGCCCTCACTGGCTGCGCCTGAGCGTTGTCCCGTGCTGTCGTGTTGTGTTGGTGTGCCGGACGAGATGATGATCGGCTCATCCGAACATGCAGATGCGTTTGTTGGTGCGTGGGATGTCGTCGGTACGTTCATCGTGGATTGTTGACGGGCGGAGTCGCGTTCCGCCGTGAGGGTCGCGATTTCAAGCGCCGAATCCTCCAGTTGACGCACGAGACGATCAAGTTGCTCCTGCGTCAATGTGGCGAGCGTGAAATCGGCCATGGCGGGGGTGTCAGGCAAGCTCAGCGAGAGCCTCGGTCGTGGCCGTGCGTGCTTGCGAGAGAGCACTACGAGCGGCGGTGCTATATCGCTGAGAGACGTCTACCCCCCCCAAAATTTGAGATAGTGGGGAAGTGAAAGTGTGGATGCGGTCCGAGATGGGATCGTAGGCTCTGAATAGCAAGTGTTACGAGTGCAATTGAGTGAACGAGCGAGAATTGCACTATCGAAGCAAGAGTCCAATGGGCGAAGGTATGAGCGAAGAATATATAGCGAAACTACAGTGGTAACGGTAATGGTCGCGCGACGAGCCTGGGACTGAGGTTGGGAACGTGTCGAAGCGTAGGCCCGGAGCGCGGGTTACCAGCCGAGCCGTGAGGTCGGGATGCGATGTGCGAAAATGGCGGGATGATGAATGATGCGATGGTTGTGAGTGGTAACGGTGCTGACTGAGGTGCTACCGTGATGTACGCGTTGAGCAGAGATGCGAAGTAAGGAAAAGGGAATTTCCTTACAAAAGCATATCACCATCTTAGGAGGTGCGATGACCAGCTGAACACTGACTGGCTGCATATTAGCGCATTAACATCTGCCATCAAACCAACAAACCTGGAGCATGAACAGAAATCCCGTCTGAACATACGTTCAGTACAGTACTCACGACAAGGGAAAATCGATGACCAGACACGAGACGAGACATGCTTCCGTACTGCATCAGTGTTACTGTCGTGATGCAGAAATCGTCTTGCGCGAGAGTACTCGCGAAACTCGTTGACGTTCGCTCGTTCGTCGTCAGCTGACAGTTGTTGCCAGGTTGTCTTGTCCACATGACCAGGGGTATTCCTTCCTCTGACCAGTCAAAAACTGTCGGCGCTGTGTTGATGTAGTTTTGTCAATGTTTCCCTGCCCGACATCTACACATCAAATCCTGAAGATGAAAATTGCTGGGGGATTGTACATTCAAATTGACACTTATACTAGGGTCCCAATCAGTTCAAAGGAGTGGTACGTAAACAATCTCTTGTTTCGGGCAGAGCCTGAATGTCGAAACGATGTTCCTGCTGTGCTGAAAAACGACGACTTCTTTGTGAAAGAAAATTCCTCCCAATCTTTCCTGGGGTTGGTTGGTCTCCGCGGACCGCGACCCACACTGTTCAGTGGTCTGACCAGTCTGCCTCTCACACTTCCGCCTAGGCTCTGCGCAGCGCGACCTTGGCTGTGTGTGCGCCAACTGAGAATTGCTCTCAAGTCTACTGGACAAATACCTGCACGCATTCCCTCATTCACCAGCAGAACGCATTTGAGCATCCTTTTACACACGCCCTGCACTCGTAGCTTCCCTCGAAAATCGACTGTTCTTGGCGTAACTTGCTTCGATCGTCAGACACGATGACGCGCGCCGGTCTTATCCCTCTCCTCGTCCTGCTCCTCGTCGCGCCTGGTATGCTCGTAGCTCAGAAAAACTCGTCTACTAAATTGGTCCAGTGGACGCCGACTTCCCAGCCTTCCTTGTTTGAATTAAAGTAGTTGGCCTGCGCTCCCTTTCCTTGAATGTCAGACGCGTTACTTCGGGTGTCAATGTGTCATTACGATCTTAACGCGTCAACTTGCAACATCTGATCTGTTTTTTTCTTGCGCTGCCTGCGCAGTTCTCGGTCACGGGGGTGGCGGTGGTTTCGGCGGCGGAGGCCGCGGCTGAAGGGGTCCCCACGGCCCGCCGATCGACGCGTCCGTCACCGGAAATCTCACAGGTGCGACGAGTGCACCATCTAGCACGGTTCAGTCCGCCAGATTCGTTCATCCCGTCACAATGCGATCCCGAATACATTTTTTTCTGGAATTTCCGTTCACTATTGGATGCCAAACGTGCGCTGGTCTCTTTCCGCCCCTCCCCGGAACCCCCACTCCCCCCTCCCCTTCTTCCCCCACCCGCCCCCCTTCTTCCCCCTCCCTCGCCCCTTCGTACCATCCGCAGGTCGCGTGGGCGCCTGGGTCTCTAACTGCACGACGGACATCGGAGCGACTCGCGGCAAGTTCCTGCTCGCCGTCTTTAAGGACGAGTCGTCGGGCACGCCCGTCTACAACCTCTATTTCGACGCGGATCTTGACGAGTACAGCGGAACCGCGCCCGACACGATCAACATCGTGCAAGGCGCGGCGTGTGACTCCACCGCCACCGCCGCCCTCACTCTGCCGTCCACCGGCTGGACCACACAGACGCGCGGCGGGCGCGGCGGCTCGCACACGGAGCTGCGCGTGACGGGCACCGTGGAAGGCGCCGACGCGACGGTCGTCGAGGCGCTTCTCGCGGGCGTGCCGAACGCGACGGTGACGCAGAACGTGTTCACCAAGGTGATCAACGGCGCGAAGCAGGGCTTCCAGAACGCCTTCGGCGGACGCCGCCGCGGGCGCGAGCTCGCGGGGAACAGCGCGGGGAAGCTGACGCAGCAGTTCCTGAAGCGCCAGCGCCAGCGCCTCGCGTGGATGGGCGCGAAGACCAAGGCGCTGTTCGCGACGTTCATCGGGACCACCGACACCACGACTGATTCGCCGTACGCTGTCATTTTTACCGACAGCACGACCGGCAACTCCTGGAGCGCCGCGCTCACTGGGAACTTCGGCAAGTGTGGCGGTCGTGGCGGGCGTGGTGGCAACGGGCCTGACGGTGACAGCGATGGTCCTGGTGGCGCTGGTGGCCGTGGTGGCCGTGGTGGCCGTGGTGGTGGCCGTGGTGGTGGCTATTAGAGTGATGCTATGAACTCAGCTGAAATGTGGGGGCGGATTTGATTCAAGCGTGGATCACGGAGAGGAGTGAAGCTAGCATGTCAGGGGAATGCGGCGTTGGGTGAGGGGGGGAATTGGGGTGGGGTTTAGAGGGGAGGGGGGAAGAGTAGGAGGTGGGGGGGGTGGGGGGGGGGTCGCAGGGGGAGGGGATGCGGGGGGTTTGATCACGTGGGGTCTTCGGTCGACTTTTTGAGAAACTCGGTTATGGACGCTTCGTTATTGTCCTCTAGAGTCGACCCAAGACAACCACTTGTGTGTTTTTTTGTTGAGTGGCAGTGTTAAAGTGGGACTAAAATGAAATTTCGCTTAATACTACAATAGCTTGTTCACATTCTGGTATTCCAACCGGCAGAATGCTCCAATGTTCCACTTGGACGCAAACATATGATAAAATAATCATGTTAATGTTACAATGTCATAGAGAGCATCAACACATCAGCCTCTCACTGCTGCTTAGCTTTACTGAACCTCACCAGAAGCAGAAACGTAACCAACCGTACAAACACCCCAAAACCCAGCAGCACCGCAACATTCTCCCACATGTCGAGCTGATTCAGAGCCACTGTAGTCGTTAGCAGCTGAGGCCCGTCCCGCAAACATGTGCTTGTAGTGATTTTGCTATAAGGAGTACCAGCCAGCACCTGCCGCATCCCCACCATGGCCTTATTGATTCTGGTTGCATTTAAATACGGCGCCACGGGTGTATTATCAAACATTATGCCAGCTTCCAAGTAACAGGGTCCTCCGGGCCTGGTGGGGTGATGATTCAGGAGAGAAATGGAGATTGGGGATTGGTGCTGAGGAGTGGGAGACGGTGGGGAAAGATGGTGGGGAGTGGGAGATGGTGGGGAAAGATAGTGAAGAAGTGGGAGATGGCGAGAAGTGATGCCCACATCATTCCACCCATACTCATGTCCCCAGCAAAAGGGTGCCGATTTCTCACCTGCCAAACTTGGTTGATCGTCAGCCCTTCATAAGCATACTTCATGGGCGAGAGGTAGTGCAGCCAGACCCAGCCGTCCGGGATGCCATTCCACTGCATGCAGTGTCACCCTCAGCATACTGGTTAAACCCACTCCTCACCTGCCAAACTCGTTGATCGCCCGTGCCTCATAGGCATACTTCATGACCACACCACGACCCGACGTGCTGTACACCCCCCTGCCCGCTACGGTTCCAACCAAGTACAGAACCTTGACCCCATCGCAGCTCTCCAACTTACTTCCCGCCATCAGCTATTCCTCACGCTATTACTAGTAGCTATAGCTTTCGCCAGCTGGCTTCCCGTTCATGCATCCAAGGCGTTCGTTAGCAGCACCTGACGTCTATCAACGGTGCGTGCCTTAGCCCTAAAGCCTTTCCCCATCCATTCACGTTTAGTCCCTTGTTACTCGAAAATTACTAATAATATGAATGAATAAAGTCGATCAGACCGCTGTCGCAATGCGCCCACAAACCGGCGTGCCAAACAGCGCATCGCCCGATGCATCGGGCCCGATCGTCGCGAGATGCATCGCGACGATCAGGAGCAGCCGCCGCCGCGATGCGCATTGCGGCCACCTTCGGGCCGCAAAGCGCATCGCGCCGACCGGGCCGCCGCCGCCGTGATGCGCATTGCGTCCTGCTTTTGGCCGCTCCGCGCATCGCGCCTACCAGGCCGCCGCCGTCGCAATGCGCAATGCGGCCACCCTGCCGGGCGCATTGCGACGATCCGCCACCGTGATGCGCTAACCCGCCGCTCAGCGAGTCGCGCCTCTCTGGCTACCGCCGAGGCCAGGGTGCCCATGCACTCTCGTCTGCTAGCCTCCCCTCTCGTGCTCTCTTGTCTCCTACCCATCTTTCCTCACTCCCTCGCATGCCGTGTCATCCCCGGCCAAAGCCTCGATTACGTCAATTCCCTCTCTCGTGCCAGGCTTTTCTTTTATGCTATCTCGTGCTTGACTGCTCTCTAGTCCCCTCTAGTTACGTTGAGTCTTCTCTCCATCCCTCTCGCACACCCCCTCTCATACACACTCATCGCCTCTCCATCCCTCTCGCTCACCCCCTCTCGTACACACTCATCCCCTCTCATCCCCTCACACACACTCCCGTTCCCTCTCATCCCCTCTCATTCACTCTCATTCCCTCTCATTCTCTCTCATTCCCTCTCATTCCCTCTCTTTCCCTCTCATCCCTTCTCATCCCCTCTCATTCACTCTCATACACTCTCATACACTCTCATCCCTTCTCATCCCCTCTCATTCACTCTCATACACTCTCAACCACTCTCATCCACTCTCCTAATCTCTCATACTCTCTCATAATTCCTTATCATACACTCTCATTCACTCTCATCCCCTCTCATCCTCTCTCATCCCATGTCATTCCCTCTCATACACTCTCATACCCTCTCGTACCCACTCATATACACTCATATACACTCTCATCCCCTCTTATACACTCCCATACACTCTCATTCACTCTCATACGCTCTCATCCCCTCTCATCCCATGTCATTCCCTCTCATACACTCTCATACTCTCTCGTACCCACTCTCATATACACTCATATACACTCTCATCCCCTCTTATACACTCCCATACACACTCATACACTCTCATACACTCTCATTCACACTCATCCCCTCACATCCCCTCTCATCCCCTCTCATCCCCTCTCATCCCCTCTCATACACTCTCACACACTCTCATACACTCTCTTAAACACTCTCATCACTCCTCATCCACTCGCATACACTCTCAACCCCTCATCCTCTCTCATACACTCACATACACCCTTATTCACTCTCATCCCCTCTCATCCACTGTCTGATATACTCTCATCCCCTCTCATCCACTGTCTGATACACTCTCATCCCCTCTCATACAACCTCATACCCCCTAATCCGCTCTCATCCACTCTCATACACTTCCATACACTCTCATTCACACTCATCCCCTCTTATCCCCTCACACCCCCTCTCATACACTCTCATCCCCTCTCATACACACTCATCCCCTCTCATACACTCTCGTACACTCTCATACCCTCCCATCCACTATCATATACACTATCATCCCGTCATACTCTCCCGTACACACTCATACACTCTCATCCCTTCTCATATACTCTCATACACTCTCATCCTCTCTCATACACTCTCATACACTCTCAACCACACTCATTCAATCTCCTACACTCACTCTCATACACTCCCATCCCCTCATACACACCCATTCACTCTCATACACACTCATTTCCTATCATCCGTTCTCATCCTATCTCACACACTCTCATCCCCTCTCATATACTCTCATCCCCTCTCATATACTCTCATCCCCTCTCATCCCTTCACATCCCCTCTCGTTCACTCTCATACACTCTCTTACACTCTCATCCCCTCACATACACTCTCCTACACTCTCAACCACTCTCATCCACTCTCCTAAACTCTCATACACTCTCATCATCCCTTATCATACACTCTCATTCACTCTCATCCCCTCTCATCCCCTCTCATCCCATCTCATTCCCTCTCATACACTCTCATACACTCTCGTACCCACTCATACCCACTCATACACTATCATATACACTCTCATCCCCTCTTATACACTCCCATACACACTCATACACTCTCATACACTCCCTTTCACTCTCGTGCACTCTCATCCCTGGTCATCCCCTATCATCCCCTCTCATCCCCTCTCATCCCCTATCATCCCATCTCACACACTCTCACACACTCTCATACACTCTCTTACACACTCTCAACCCTCCTCATCCACTCTCATACACTCTCAACTCCTCTCATCCTCTCTCATGCACTATCAGACACTCTTAAACACTCTCATCCCCTCTCATACACACTCATACCCCCTAATCTGCTCTCATCCTCTCCCATACACTTCCATACACTCTCATTCACTCTCATCCCCTCTCATCCCCTCTCATCCCATCTCATTCCCTCTCATATACTCTCATACCCTCTTGTACCCACTCATATACACTCATATACACTCTCATCCCCTCTTATACACTCCCATACACACTCATACACACTCATACGCTCTCATCCCCTCTCATCCCATGTCATTCCCTCTCATACACTCTCATACCCTCTCGTACCCACTCATACCCACTCATACACTATCATATACACTCTCATCCCCTCCTATACACTCCCATACACACTCATACACTCTCATACACTCCCTTTCACTCTCGTGCACTCTCATCCCTGGTCATCCCCTCTCATCCCCTCTCATCCCCTCTCATCCCCTCTCATCCCATCTCATACACTCTCACACACTCTCATACACACTCTTACACGCTCTCAACCCTCCTCATCCACTCTCATACACTCTCAACTCCTCTCATCCTCTCTCATGCACTATCATACACTCTTAAACACTCTCATCCTCTCTCATACACACTCATACCCCCTAATCCGCTCTCATCCACTCTCATACACTTCCATACACTCTCATTCACTCTCATCCCCTCTCATCCCCTCTCATCCCATCTCATTCCCTCTCATACACTCTCATACCCTCTCGTACCCACTCATATACACTCATATACACTCTCATCCCCTCATATACACTCCCATACACACTCATACACTCTGATACAGTCTCATGAGCACTCATCCCCTCTCATCCCCTCACATCCCCTCTCATAGCCTCTCATCCCCTCTCACCCCCTCTCATCCCCACTCATACACTCTCACACACTCTCATACACTCTCTTACACACTCTCAACCCTCCTCATCCACTCTCATACACTCTCAACTCCTCTCATCCTCTCTCATGCACTATCAGACACTCTTAAACACTCTCATCCCCTCTCATCCCTTTACATCCCCTCTCGTTCACTCTCATACACTCTCATTGTTGTGTGATGCAACCATATGCATTCACGTCTGTCTGCCTCCCATCATGTGTTTGTGCGTTGCATGCGTGGTGTGAGCGTGTGCAAGAAATTTGTGTCTTGTGTGGTTTGGATTTTCTGTGTGTGTGTGTGTGTGTGTGTGTGTATGTTATTTGGCTTGAGCAGATATCTGAAGTGATTTCTCTACTCAAGAGCTTTCCGACGAACCACGAATCGTCGCGATCGGAGCACAACCAAGAAAGTTACGAACATTGGAGTTCGTATGCTTATATATTTTGGTTGCAGCTACTTTGGGAAGTTGTGGCATTGACTCAATATGGGGTACAGACTTGTGGGGGTTGGGAAATTCGAACCCATCACTGTAGATGCTGCCAAGAGGTTGGGTGAAGCAAAACCAGGTTGGTAAGTGTGGCCAAGTTGTGGTGAGGTGGATGGCATGGGTTGGAAAGTGACAAAGGTCAAAGTTTGTTGCCTATGGGGAAGGGAATTGTGTGGCATGGGGTTTCCTTGGTTGGGGACTCTCTCTTGGGACCTTCCCTCTCGTCCTCCTCTTCCCCTCCTACCAGGTTTAGTGTTACTCTAATGTTCTTTTGTGGGACTTGTGAGTTAATTGTGATTGAGTTAAATTTCTGTGGCAGCATACCCCCTAGTGCGCCGAAAAGCATACCTCAAGATATGCTTCATATTTTGATACGATTCAAATTGGGAAATGTAGCCACGGTCTAGGGCTACAACATATTTGAATTTCGTGGGATTCTAACAGTGCACCTTTTGTCGACAACGTTTCTTGTGAAGTCGACGTTTCTGTCCAGAAATTGAGACCAACGATTTTGAGAAATTTGGGCACCTAATCTTCCTAGACTCCGTCCTTAGTCTCTAACACTCATACACTCTCATCCCCTCACATACACTCTCATACACTCTCAACCACTCTCATCCACTCTCCTAAACTCTCATACACTCTCATCATCCCTTATCATACACTCTCATTCACTCTCATCCCCTCTCATCCC